AATGTGGACAGTTAGCATTTACCGACATACACCTGTCTACTTTCTCTTGTATGGAACATTTTTTAAAATTAAAATAAATGGGTTTATAGAAGGTCAAAGGGTAGATATCAGATGTTTGGGCTAGTTAAGTCGGCATTTAAACAACAAGGCTTCCCCTTTGGTATGTTTAATTGTGATGTTTAATGGACTTCCTTGCAGTTTAAGATGATACTTTTAAAATAAAATTCTCTCCTAATAATGGCCTGGGCCCTGCCACTCAATGGGAGAGTCGCGGTCCTGCAGAATCTTATTTGGAATCGTCATTCTCTATTGTAATCTTGTTCCTGTTTATTTAATTTTTTTTGTTTCATTGGAAAGAAAAGATATTGATCAATTTTAAACATTAAAAGTGTACCAATTGCTTTCTTATAATGAATCTAAATGTGAAGTTTACCTCAGTAAAAAAAAAGAAAGAAAGAAAGAAAGAAAAGAGAGGAATGAATACTTACATTTCAGTATCCAAAGATCAGTTGCTCAAAAAATTTTTAGAACTAATACTAGGGATAGAAGAGAAGTGAGGCACAATTAGCAAAAAGCATGAGAATCAGCAGAATAAAAATTCTAGCAAAAATGGCGTCAATTCTGTGAGAACCAAAAGTACTTATGACTCCTACATTGCGCTAGAAATTGTAAAAAAACACAAGCATGGGAACACATTCCAAAAGACCCTGGGTTTCTAGAACACCCAATTTACCCACCAGAGGCAATCTGAGAGAAATACAAAGTGATATGGGAAAAATGAAATGACAGAAACAGAGCCCAGAAGTTTAGATCATCTCCATTCTATAAAATAAAGTCTTCGCTCTTGATATGAAAATCCAGTCCTCACACCATCTGGACATGAAATTACTTTTCCAACTTTACCTCTCAATGGATTCTAACAAATGTTCTGAATTCCACCTGTTCTTTAATGCTTACTGTTATCTTCCACCTTCTCCACTTTGCCATTGTTCAACTAGAGCCTCTCTTTCCAGAATGTCTTCCACCTCCTCCTCTTTTCCTTTATTATTCCTTCCCCACTTTGCACTAGGAAAATACATCAGATACCACTTTGTTGGTTGGCCAACCCAACCTTTACCTTTCTTTTCCCAGCCATGGGAAGCCATATGACATCTGATTAAACAAAGAATTAAGTTGATGGCACAATGCACAGTTCCTTTGTGGTAGGCTGATCGTGACCCACAAATAATTCATGTCCTAATCCCCAGAACCTTTAAATATTACCCATTTTTTGGGAAGAATAATATTTCCAATAAAATCTTTTGAAAATTTTATTAAGGATCTTAAAATGGAGAGATGATTGTGAATTATCCAGTTGGGCCATGAATGCCATCACAAATGTTATGATAAGAGAGAGCAGAGGGAGATTTGACACACACCCAGAGAAGAGAAAGTGATGTGAAGATGGAGACAGAGATTGGAATGATGTGGCCATAAGCCAAGGTATGTTGGCAGTCACCAGAAGGAATGGATTCTCCCCTCAGGCTTCCAAAAAGTGCACCCCGGCCAACACATTGATTTAACTCAGAGATACTCATCTGGGCCTTCTGGTTTCCAGAACTGTAAGAGAATTAATTTCTATTGTGCTAAGCCACCCAGTTTTCAGAATTGGTGACAGCAGTCATAGGAGACTAATATTATCCTTCATCCCTTCCTCCCCTTTCTTCTTGCCTTAGAGATAAACATGAGACCCAGAACAACAATCAAGAAAACAAAATCCACGATGATGAAAATGACAGA